TGGGGTACTGAGAGTAGATTAATGAGAAAAAAATGAATTTGAAAAATTGTGGTATCAGGCTGCAACATAAAATTGAAAAAAGTGAAGGGAGTCTGAATACTTTTTGAATGCACTGTACCTAGTTAAAGACCGATAAAAATTGGAAACACCAAGTGGGAACAATGTAGAGTTCATATAAATGGATATGCAAAATTTTCTAAAAGACGTTTCCTCTGCAAGTGGATATTTATTGAATTAAAAAGATTTCTGGTTTAATGCAAAGCTGAATTTATGTTTTAAGAATTATCAAACATCTTTCTGAAAAGCTACCAGGATCATGACATTCTTTTTCTGCATCTTTTTCTAAGGATGGTTTTAGACTTGTGTGTCATTTTTAAGTTCAGATATTTGGAACTAGCTGAACATTACTTCGTTTAGCCTGGAAATATTTCATGCATTGTTAGAGAAGACTGAAATAGCTAAATCTCTGTTTTTGCATATCCTTTCTTACACATTTTTGGAAAGTTACTTTATATTGTTCCTTATGTATGCTCGTCTCAGTCATAAAAGTTTGTTTTTAAATCTGGTGGAATCTAAACTGAACAAAACTAAAACTGTTCTTTTGTTTTTATTTTTTTATTTTAAATATTTGTTGAAAAGAGCATTGCCTATCTGAACCAAAAAGACTTATTACCATGACATAATACTACATAAAAATGAGACATTGTATGATAAAGACTAAAGAAGCATATATTTTATCATAAAAAGTAGGATCTAGATCCTCTTAGTTCTAATTCTGGTATTTTGATTTTGATTTTGAAGAATGATATGACTTCAGTACGATTACGTTGGGAAGAAATTCTCATGCCGCTGCTGAAAAAATACAAGTTGAATATAACATGGGGTGATCAGGATCTTTTGAACATTATGTTTTTTCATAATCCTGGTAAGCTGCTTTAAAAAAATCCAATTTGATTGTGAATCTTAATATGCTACTGCTATTTCTCTTATACAAATGTACTCTGTTTCACAGTGCTCAGGTGCTAATAATATATCAATTTGACTGAACTTCCATATCAGTTGAATTTTGATTGTCCACAAGGCCCATTTGTTAAAGTTTTATAGACCTGTAACAGTGATTGGGTAATTGCATTATTGGGGGTGGGGGGACTACATCAGTAAAAGTATAATTTCCAAATCATTTGGAGTAGTTCTGTTCCACCTCACTTTGATTACTGTGTCTGCTTCAGAAAAACAGAAAAGTAAAAGAAGAGCAACAAGAATGGTCAGGGGATTAGACACTAAATCCTATAAAAAGAAAGAAAGGAAACAGGGTGGTTTTGCTTTGAGAGATGACTGAGACAAGGAAATATAATTCTCTTTAAGTACCACAGAAGAAAGCCATTATGTTTTCTTTAATGTTCTATAGTGCCAGACACAGAATAATGGTATTAAGTTGGAGGAAGACACTTCAGTTGAATGTTAGGAAAAACTTCCTAATGGTAACGGCACTTCAACAATTGAACCAGTTTTCAAATGAGGTTGCAGGTTTCCCTTTGCTGTGTGTATTCAAGCAAAGTCTGGACGGGAATCTGTCAGACATGTTTTAATTTTGATTTCTGCATTGAGTAAGAGGTTCGTCTTGATTGCCTAAATCTTTCTATGAACAATTTGCCTAGAATCATTATGTTTAAGGATTTTTTGTTGTTCTCTATAGAAAGCCTTTTCGTGTTTCCTTGCCAATGGAATTATCGGCCTGACCATTGTATTTATGGGAGCAATTGCCAAGAGGCAGAAAAGGAAGGAATATTCATCCTTCATGGAAATAGAGGAGTTTACCATGATGATAAGCAGCCAACATTTCGTGCTGTTTATGATGCAATTAAAAATGTAAGTAAACATTTTAATCTGAACTTTTAAAATTAAAAATAATTCTCAGAACTCTAGCTCTACTTTTAGGTCTTATTTTTGTTGATTCATATGAATGAGCCTTCCAATAAATATATTACCAGTAGTTATAAAATAAATAAATGCAAAGTGCACATTCCAGAATGTATGCTGAAATATTCAAGAATAAAATAAGCTTTGAAAGGAAGTAAGACTTTGGGTATACTGAAAGGTAGAAATTATGTAATTATTGATTTCATCGAGACATTTCAAACCTCGATAACATTAAGCTTTTTAATTTTAAACTTCACCAAGACCAGGTGAGACACATTATCTTGGCTCAAGGGCACAATATTATGCTTAAGAAATTCCATGCGATATGTAGCTTCTATAAATGGTTGTAATTAGTAGATCTGCACTGATGAACCAAAGTAAAAATTTCTACTCAGAAATGTGACAATTCTTTGTTTCCTTTTTATTACTAAAATTATATGTGATTCTTTGATATTGAAAAGCTTTATTCCTATGTCATAGCTGTATAATTTAGTTATTTTATTTTGTGCTATTTGTAATATATAGATGCCTGCTCAAGTCTTTCATGCTTGGCATAACTATTCAGTTTGCCTGTTCTGCAAATAAGATTTCTAATAAACTATTTATCAGTCTTTCAGTATACTCACTGAAGAGCTATAAATGCAGCAATGTTGCTTATTTTAATGTTCATCCTATCTTGTATATAACCTTCAAAAATCAATAGTATATTTTAATGCTGCTTTGTGGCATGTTGTCATATAGGTATAAAAATGAAAAAAAGTACTATTGGGGGCCTTAGAACACATTACACCAAAAGAAAATGTGGTCTCATAAAAATACAATTTCTTAGTTCCTTTGAGTATTGCCAGAAAAATATTAAGAAAAGAAAACCTCTTGGCTTTATTTATGATCAGCTTTTGTTTATGCATAAAGCACAGAAAAGATGTAGATCAATTCCAGCAAAATTAGTGGAATGATTTTATTTGTAACATTGTGTTTGCATATTACTTCATTTATAACATATTAAACTAACCTGTAACTCGGGATTAATAGTCCTTTACTTCAGGTTTGCATTAAATACTGTGTGTGCTTGTTTATAACTCAGTTTAATGAAAGTGCTCCTTCTTTAATGGTTCTATAGATTACTATTTTTATACTATTTCAACTCAATATATTATATATTAATATATTACTTGAATATCATATATAAGCCCAAAGCTACATTATCAGAACAATGTGCTCACAACAATTAATGCTTTAATTTAAGTGCTGATATGATTTTTATGTATCTTTGTGTGAATATTTGTGTTTTCTACCATTTTTTAGGCAAATGAATTTGATTTCATTTAAATTGACAGTAACGGGACATTGTGAATTGTTAGATGAGATTGCTGCCTTGCCTGATGAGGATTAAATATATTAAGAGTAGGGGCAAGTTTTTACTGGACCTAGATTATTTTATTTAGAAAGATATATTTATAAAATGTAATATTTTATGCACAGCAGTTTAAGAACTACATCACAAAACCTGACATTGTTGAAATGGCATTAGTAAATCTAACTTGCTAATACATTGTTTCTAATACTTTTCCAGTATTCGTTTGGTGAAGACCTTGTACCTGCCTTGCTTCTACCTCTTGAACTGGAACTACAAAAGACACAACACACATACTGTGGAAGAATATACAAAGTGTTCATAAAACAACTCACAAAAAGTATAAGGGACCTTAGTAACAGAAGATCTAAGGAAAGGTGATCATTGCAGGCTCTGCTCTCCAGCCTTTTGTACTGAACAGAACCACCAATATTTGATGTCTAAAGGCTATTCCTACAAAAATGGCTTGTTGCTCTAAGAAGTTGTTATTTGAAGTCTGCATTATCTTCCATTGTGGACAAAATGAAGATAGTAATCAACTTAGGCATCTACAAGTTGGGGGTTGGAGACAATGATGGAACGTAGCTTGTGAAACCACATGTGTCTTACATACTTGCATCTGACAGTGGGATGCAAGTAAAAAAGGCTGGGGTCTGCATAGTGATGTCACAGTGCATGTTTTGTAATTTTTTGTTTTGGTCAGTATGTTTTTTTTACCAGATTTTTATGGGCTCATCTTGAATTATTCTTTGCAGAACTTTTTTTTTTATCTTAGTTGGATCTTTGAAGTTGAATTAGTACACATTACTTCAATGAGTTAGGAGAGATACAGTTTGTATTCAGGTTTATTCTTCATAATTCAGTTGCTTATAAACCTCAGAAGAGTCAGATAATATGAAGGTGTTTATATTTAGGAGTGGCAAAATATATTGTCATCCCTAATCTCAATTGACTAAACTGTGAATGAAGGAATAATTAAGTCAGCACTGTCTTCACTTTAAAAGTGTAAGAATACATTGTTTACAAAGCTCACAAGTTACTTTGTTTCAAAGAAATGTGATGTGACGATTGACAATCTATATGTGCCTTTGTTTTCATCTCTTATACTTTAAAAGATTTGACAATCATGTTTTACATATATTTAGCTGTAAACTGCACATGATAAATAGGATGTTCACTCTACACAATATTACTTAATGGAAATAAATTTAAGCTTTTCAGTCCTTTAATTATATATTGCTATAAATAATTCATCAATCTGATATTCTACAACTGTTTTGAATTGTAATTTTTCTCAGTTCCAGACAGCATGGCCGTACTGGAGAACATCAGGTGCTAATACATAACAACAGAAATCTAAGGAACTTTCCAGGCAGAATAAAAAGCTTGGGATGGACATTTTCAATAAATCTTCCTATATTTTCCCCTATATTTAGATAACAGTCTATTAAATTAATGTGAATTGTTATGTCATGAATGTGTTTTCAAATTTCCTACAGTTTTGAACACACTTTGCTATGTATTATAGAGAACTATAAGCCTAAAGTATCTTAGGTGCAGAAAATGGCCTTGTCAGTATCCTTGTCAGAATACAGTGGCAAAATGTGGCTGGAATTTTATTTTAACTGAGGTTGAATTTGATTCAGATAACTCTCAGTACAGTTCAGTTGTTCGATTTCGCTATTTAGAGAGGAAAAATCACTACAAAATATGTGCTTATGAAATACTATATTAAAATCTAAATCTTAATAATAAACTGAATTCTTACAGTTCAGTCAGATCCATTTATATCCTATCCCCATTCAGACATTATAATATTCAGAGTGCTTAACATTGAGCAATCCCCCACTATAACTGACATGGGTCTAATGATGTCAGTATCTGAACATGCTAACTTCCACTTCCTGGAATTATAAGTGTTGATGTCTGCATGGAAGCCACATAGTGGGCAATCTGGATACCTTACCACCTGAATGGGTTATAGTGTAATACTATATCAAGTACTGTAACTGAACTTAATTTGAGATTTGCTTACATACCAAATATTTATTGCATATTAGGCAACAAAATTTTTAAATGGCCAGAATTTATACATAAAAATCTCTGATTTCATTGGAACTATACTAGCTATAGTTTTAAGAGCATAAGAAAAAAATGTTCTAAAAGCAGCAATTACTACCAAAAGTTTTGTTGTATAATTTTTTTTTATTATAATAGTTGAAATACGTGTGTACAAGAAGTTGGAAACACCTGAAGTTTTTGCAACTTTTGTTCAAGTGGATGGAACTTTGTTAGAAAGTTTGATGTCTCGGCGCTGGCATCTTAGCAACTGCAGTCATTTTGAACTGGAAATTTGGGATCCAAATCTATAATGCATCCTTTATTTTCCTTACTTCAGTTACTAGCTCGTAGCTCCAAAGGAGAACAAAAACATCTAGAAAGGGCATAGTACGTTGCAATTACAGGTAGTCCTCGTTTAGCAGCTGCCTTGTTTAGCAACCGTTTGCAGTTATGAACATCATGAAAAAGCAATTTACAACCAATCCTTGCATTTATCACCTTTGCAGGTCTGGAAAGCTGAAGTAAGTTCATAAGCATAGTTGTGGTTTCACTTACCGACTGCTTTGCTTAATGACCAAGTTGCTGAACCTACCTGTACTTCTGTTGTTAAGTTTAAGAAGTGTATTTTGCAAAAAAAATATTGAATTGTGTTCCTTTTGAATACATTTGTTTTTTTCTTTTCAAAATTCCAGCCAATCATTCCTTCCCAGGAGGGCATTGTACTGACCTCTTCTTCCCCTCTCCCAAGTTTCCTAATTTTGTCTTTCAACTGAAACTGAACTTTCAGTGGTCACTGGGTATATGTAATCTTCACTGGAGTTTAGAACACACGTATCCTTCTCACAGTAGCAGCTTTTAAAAATTTAGCACGTTTGATATGTGTTTTGTGAGGTGCAAACATGGTGGCTGCCAAACACCAAACTTGTCTTTCAGTGGAACTTCCTTAAAGGGTTTAAGATACACTCAGTCCAGTAGCTGAGATACTGTATTTTTTATCACTACCTTCCCAAATCAGAAATAAATAACCTCTGCCCCTGCATCTTTCCTTCGATGTTAGGACTGTTCTCAGATTCCATCTCTGATCTCAAAACCTGATCATCGAGGGATCCATTATAATTGATGTAACATTTGAACAAGTATAAAATCCAGTTGCTGAGTTAAGCCATATTGTAGTTGAAAACTTTCCAAAACAATACTTAGTGCAATTGAATAATATTAGAATAAATTAAAATAACAAAATGCAAGGTTATTTAATTATTTACTGATATTGAACTTTTTAAATTATATTTTTGTATAACTGACATAACAAGAAACTAATGAAGGAAAAGATAATCACATCTTTGAAGATTTCTTCCTAATATAACACAGAACACTTATCACTGGTAAAGCATCATAGTTTTTAAATTTACTGATATTGGTGAACCATAATTTTAACATTTATCTGTAACTGATGTAACCTTTCTAAGATGAAATTCTATTTTCTACCCATAATCTAAATATAGATCAACTCTGTTAAATCGGGGCCTCCAAGTATTTGTTGGATTACAGTTTCCATCTTTCCCAACTTAAACATGAGCTACCAATGTGATGTAGCTGCTAAAAAGCCAAATGCTAGCTTAGGGTACAAACACAGAAGCGTAGAATCCAGGTCATGGGTAGTAATTGCTCTAAGTTACTCTGCCCTGATGAGACCTCACTTGCAATACTGTGTCCAATTCTGGGCACAACAGTTCAAAAAGGATGTTAACAGATTGGATTAAGTTTAGAGAAGGACTAACAAGATGGTGAGAGATCTGGAAACAGAGCCCTTGTAAAAATGGTTAAAGGATCTGGTATGTTTAGCCTACAAAAGACATGACTAAGGGGAGATACGATAATGGTTTTCAAATATCTGAAGGACTGTCACATTGAAGAGGGAGTGGACCAGATCCAGTGAGTTAAAACTACATAGAAGTAGGTTCAGACTTCGTGTCAGGAGAAACTTCCTGACTAGAACTGTGAGTCAGTAGAATAGGCTGCCACATGAAGTTGTAAGTTCTCTGCTGAAGATCAAACAGAAGCTAGATGGTCACCTGTCAGAGATAGTGTAGTATCCACTGAGCAGGAGGTTCAGGTAAATGTCCTCTAAGGGCCCTTCTATGAATCTGATTCCCCAACATATATGCAGTGATTTTAATAAGTGCTTCTTTGCTATCAACTCTAAGTTCGCTAAGCATGGGCATTAACATTAACTTTACTGTTTTAGTATTTGTTGTTTTAATATTTAACAATCCAAATTTTTCACTTTCCATTTTACTCATTTACTTCATAATCAGTTCTATACTTTGGCTATCAAGAAATTGTATTTGCATATCTAAAGGTGTTCATGTTCTAGCTCTTGCTGTAATTCCAACTGTCAGCTTTTTGAATCCTCCTATTTCTTATATTCTTTGCCTAAGTGTGTTGGAGGAGCAATGTGCATCTTTGCTCACTGCACTTCATATTATGAACTCTATTTCTCCAAATTCAGTCTTATAGTGGCTTCTTGTTCATTGCAAGTATTCAATATTCCATATTCTGGCATAATCTCCACAATCTTGCTGTAGTTAGTCAAGCGAAACTAATCCTATATTCTGTTCTTTCCTTTATCCTTTCTTTATCTATCTGATCTCTGGTCCCTTTGCTTTTTCTAAAACCTGCCTGTTCCTTTAACATTTCTCAATGTATGTCTCTGTTCTTCATAAGAACCCGAGCAGAACCGTGTGTGAAATTACTACAGTGGTTCAGTCTTCCTTCTTTGGTAGAGGTATATACTGTAAACTAATTTTTTTTTTACCATCTCTAGGCTACCCTGATTTGTTTCTTAGAGGTGTTTTTACTGTGTCATCTCCTGCAGCTTTAAACATTTCACTGGGCATTTTATCTGTGCCTGGTGCTTTGCTATTTGACTGCTGGCCAATTGTCTGTCAGGCTTCATCTTCTAATGGATTCACTTTTTGAACATAATCTCTCTCTACAGATGTTTCTGTCATTCCATAATTGTGTTTGTAAAGGGTATCAGTATAGTATTTCCATCCTCTTTTAACCTCATTTGCCATCTTCTGTCATCCTGAGTCTTTTTACTTTAACTGTACATTTTTTCTGTGCTTTTTCTTAACGTTTTAAAAAAGATTCGCATTTTTCCTTTCGTATTATTTCCTGTATTTGTTGCCATTCTTTATTGGATTCCTTTCTCGCTCTTTCTTTCTTGACAGTGGAGGTCTGTATTCAGTCACACTTCTTTCTTGTTCCCCGAATCTTTCATTTTCCATCTTTTCTTGGCTATCATGATAGTTTGTTTTGAAAGACACTTGGATATTTTCCTCTTTGAAATTTGGGGATTTTTTAAAAAATATTTTATTAGATTTAGAGGTCACCTAACTCCAAATGACTCTGGACAGCTTACATATTAAAAGTCATGAATAATTAAAAGGAAAAGTTCATAAACATCTGGTGCAACACAACACGACACAACATTCCCCAAACCAGCAGAACTCAGCAACCATCCTACCGTCAGGCTTACCCTCAAGCAAAGCCAAGTTTCCAAAGAATTATAGAATACCCTCAGGGTGGAGAGCCATACAATATTGGGGGATGCTGTTCCAGCAGGCAAGCACCACAACTGAGAAGTCACACTTCCTAGGCCCCGATAGATGACGTTCAATTTTTTTCTGCTCCAGTTTTCATTATGTCTCTATCTCTTGCCACGGGTCGTATAACTTGCATAAAAAGCAACATACATTTCTTACAATAATGTTCTGACTGTATGTCTGCCAGAACAAGTCCTGCTGGCACACCTACTCCCTTTGAATGTTTGAAGTTTAATCCATTTATTTGACACCAATAATTCATGGTGTGCTACAACTGGAAGTATTCTGGTTAACTGGATTGCACTTCTCCATCTTCTCTTTCTTATTATGCAATCCATTTCTGTTGATATGCATCCTGTGAGGTCCATATGTTGAGGTTTGCATTTGTGTTGTCTGAAGAGGTTTTGACAATAAACAGCATTCTCACCACAAAACAATTAACCTACTGTATGTTCTACATTGCAGCAAGAAATTTGTCATTCTGAGTTTCTGTCTCCAGTGTTTGCATTCCAGTTGCATGTTAATAGCATTACATCCTTTGTGGATCTTGTACTCTTTAGTACTGCTTATAATTTGCTACAGAACTCCTAAGAGTCTTCCACCACTACATCTGCAGTAGGTGCATATATTTCTATAATGTTGAAGCTTTTAGGGCATCCACTAATTCTAGTAGATGTGATTCTGTGATTTATTGGGTTGTTGCCAAGCACATTCCCAGCAATATCTCTTTTTTAATATTATTGCCACTCTGTTTCTTCATATGGTCTTATCCCCTGAATCAAATAATCATCTGATTTAAAGTGGCCCACTCTAGTGCATCTGTTCACTTATTCCGAAAACATCCAATTTAATATGCTTCATTCCCACTTTAACAATTTCAGGTTTTCCTTGGTTCATGATTCTCAAATTCCACATGCCAGGTGTATGAATATATCACTGTAAAACAAGGAGCTCCTCTTTCAGTAGTGGCACTGTCAGTTACCAGATTTACTTGCATCTTTGGTTTGGTGTGTCAGTGTTTTCAAACCTGAAAGGCAAATGTTCTTCCCCAATAAGTACAGGAATATTCTTTAGTCTGGTGTCCTGTAAAAAGCCCCTGAGCTACCAGGTTGGCCCAGCAAACCAGAACAGCTCAAGGTGATGCAATCTTGTCTTCACCACAGGAGCAAAGCCAGGAGGGCATCATGCCTCCCCCTCCCCCCCCTTTTTTTACTAATAGAGAATCCTAAGAAATCCTGTAAACCTAGTACTTGGTAGTCAATCTGGAGAGCCGTAAGCTTTCTGAGATATGTTACCAGATTATGACCTCCT